GGTGGGAACATCCCGTACAGTACTGCCAGCTCATAGTAATCTCTGCGGAGTGTCCGTGCAGTTCCTGACGACTACTACTACTACTACTACTACTACCACCACCAATACCACTGCCAGCTCGAACCCCACGGGCCCATCAATAGAGCTCTTAATCAAGGGGATTTGGAGCCTAGTTCCAAGGCTGGAATCTGGAGCCCAGAAGACCTACCTTGTTAAGGGACTATATATAGAACCCATAGTAAGGAACCCTATAAAAGGTAGGTCCTTTCGGCCACAAGCAAATCCTAAATCTTCTTTTCTTCTATCGAAGTCTCCCTAAACCCTAAACCCTAAAAGCCCTAAACCCTACAACCCTACAACCCTACAACCCTAAACCCTAATTGTCTGCTCGGGAGTCCCGCAAAAAGCGGGAGAGAGCCCTTCCCGACTCTGTCCAAGTAGGGGGCGATCGTCTCCTGCGGTCGTCGTGCGCCAGGTTTGGGCCCGCTTAGGGCTTAGGATTTAGGGTTTAGGGCTTAGGGGGTTTAGGGGGTTTAGGGGGCTTAGGGGGTTGGGCTTTATTGGGTTTAGGGTTTATAGGGTTTATAGGGTTTATAGGGTTTATAGGGTTTATAGGGTATAGGGTTTAGGGCTTAGGGCTTAGTTTGGGGCTGTTGGATGGGGCTTTTGGGCTTTTCTGGTGTGGTTGGAGTTTAGGTGCTTGGAGTTTAGCTTCTGGGGTTTGTACTGGGTCAGTAGACTTATAGGGTTTCTAGGGCTTGTGGGGATGTATGGGCTCCAATGGTGCGGGTTTATCGGCTTCGGCTTAGGGGCTAGGATAGAAGTTTGGGTTCGCGGGATGAAGACCTTGGTCTACGGAATTGGGCTTGGGGCTCAGGCCAAAACCCGAAACCTTGCACACTAATCCCTGAATCCTTCTAGCTTTTCCGGCTCCGAGATCCGGCTCCAAATTGCATAGCAAGAGGATTATTGGGAATAACGAGAAGAATAATGATAGGAAAAAGCAACAATAACAAAGTACGATAATAACGGCAAGACTAGTGACCAGGGAGCACTGTGTCTTGCTGACTCATGCCGAGGGCTCACGGTGCAGGTCCAATGGAAAGTTTAGTATTACAAACCTCGGCGACTCGGTGGGCATTGGGTGGAACCTAAACCCTAAACCGATACAGTGGCGGCGAAGTCTGAAATGCAGTCAGCGCATCTCCCCGCTCCCTTTCTTATACATGCTAGTTCCTCTACCTTCCCAGTTCCTTCCCAACCCGAAAAACTTTTAAATCATTTAAAGCCCCAAGAGATAAACCTGTACAGGCCAACAACACCAAACCAGCTGGCTCCTCCATCTCCCTTCTTAGGGAGGCCGATGGAAGCCTGCGCAGCTAGGGCTAGGGCTTAGGATCTGGTTTGTTCGGATTCGGCTGAGAGACGATATTTAGGCCTCGGGGAAAGGAGTGTATCTGGGCTCGTACAAAGAATGCCAGCCTGACATGGGCACCTATTTCGGCCTTGCACTTCCCCTCGTCTCTCCCGGGGTGCCGTCTAACTGAGGGTTCCCTTTGCACCTATTGCTACCAGTTTCTAGGAGATGCACCCGAACAAGAATCGGAGTTCGTGTACAAAAAACCCACGTCTGGGAGACCGGGAGCCCATCCCAACTCTTACCAGGCGAGTTTGGCGAAGCTCTCGAACCCACGTCCTAAAGGGGCCCTACATGTTACCTTTTACATCGACCCAACCCTAAACCCTAAACCCTAAACCCCTAAACCCTAAACCTAAACCACCCGAGAGTCGATTCCCATCAACATGCTCTGAAGAAAACCCGACAAGAGCGTGTTATGCGAACCCACGCAAGCCCCCGTCCGACCCCTGAAACAAGCGAACTTACCCCGTAAGCCCTTAAGCCCAATACAGTTCACAAAACCGATGAAGCGGGACAAATCCGACCAACAGATATTGATATAGCCTACCAAACAAAAAAACCTCACGAGTTGACTGCCAAGTCACTTCACCAGCTCCCGAAAAGCTGCCTGGCCAAAAGCATGGGCCTAAAGCTTGGAGGAGCCCCGCTACAACCCCGAGGGCCAGGACCGCTTAGACGGTCTCTGTAAGGGGCTGTCTATGAGGGGCTGTAGGGCTTTGGGTCACATACTTGACATGGCGGTCCCAAGTAGTTGCACACGTGGAGCGACCACGGACTTGCATGCAGTGGGAAATGGAAACTGTGACCAAAAAGCTGTCTTCAACTCAGAACTCATCCATACTATCCGGAGAATACGTACTGCAGAAGACCATTTAAGCAGAACTCTGTGTAATTGTGTACGCAGGATAATGCATAAACGAGACAGTCCTTCAGGCAGGGCTTCAGCCCCATTGCTGTTCAGGGCTTTGGGGTTCTTCGATTCTTAGGGCTGCAGGATTTACGGGCTTAGGGGTTTAATCAGGGGCTTAGGCGTCTATCGGGGCTTAAGGGTTATAACGCTTTAGGGGAGTGGCTAGGTTGCTCTGAAGCGCAAATGCTGTTAGACTGCAGTGTCAGTGCAGCACGCCACAACAGTAAACAATCGTTTCACAACCGACTGCTTAACAGGCAATTTCTGTACTCCGGCTACTCAGGAATGCCCTTTTATGTTCTTCGTTAACAGTCGGCATTCTTACGAGAGCCGTCAAAAAACAAGGGACCCGGAGCATGTATTACTATATACTGCTATACAGAGCCCTTGCTAGGAGCCCATTACTTCGCACGTTGAATATAAAGCTCTCAATCTCAACTCCCAAAACCCTGGATGCCGACCCAGGCCCCTGGAAGACCCTTCAACTGCCAGGCCATTCGCTCAAACCCTCTCTAAACCCCAGAACCCTAAACCCTAAACCCCAGAACCCTAAACCCTAAACCCTTAAGCCTTAACCCTAAACCCTAAACCCCTAAACCCTAAACTCCTGAAATCCAAAAACCCAAAACCCCCGCAAATTCGCCTCGGTCGGGACTGCACCCAACTCGAGCAGCGAAGCAACCGTGCCGACATTGCCGCACCTCACCTGGGGAGTGCTTCTTTAGGGGTTTAGGGGTTTAGGGCTTAGGAATTCAGGGGTTTAGGGTTTAAGGTTTGATAATGTGGGTTGAAGTGTTCGGGGATTACGGTCTAGCTAGTGCCGGGTTTAGTGGAGACTGCGGGAGTGGTTTCCTACTTGTATTCAGCCTGACTCCACGTGCGAGGCTGCGCTCTCCTTCTTAGAGTCGCAGGGGTGATGACCCTCAGCAGAGGCGGATTCTTCAGGCCCTGAGTTTCTGCTGGAATTTCAAGGCCTAGGGTTGATAAATACGGCGTTCGGGTTTAGGGTACTACATTCCCGAACATCCCCAAGCCCTTCGCGCCGAAGCAAGAGGTTCGAATCCCTCCGTCGGGCGTCTGAGTCCGGCACCGCGAAGTGAAGTGGCAGGAGGTGCCTCCACAAGGCAGAACATGCGCTTGGTTTTGTAAGCTCCATCCACATTACCTGTCTTCCAGAAACCTTACTTAAACCCTAAACCCCTAAACCCTAAACCCTAAACACCTAAAACCCTAAACCCTAAACCCTAAGCCCTAAACCCCTAAACCCCTAAACCCTAAACCCAAGATCCGAAGCCTTGAATTCCAAACCGCCGAAAAAACCCGGGTTTGCAACGACCTCGGGGCGATGCGGTGGCAGCAGACAAGCAGACCAGGCGCCGAGATGTCAATGTAGAAGACTTCTCAATAACGGTGATTTACCCTAAACCCTATATAAGGTTTAGGGTTTAGGGTGTATAAACCCTAAACCCTATAATCCCTAAATCTTTAGAGTTCAGGGTTCAAGGGTTTGTCCTTTTGGGGGGTTAGAGCCAATCAAAATTGAAGGTCCGGGGCTGGCGGCCTGAGAACTGCCAATGCAAAAATCAACAAAACACCTCTAAGCGCGGTCTGCAACCGCGTCAATAAATAAGTATACATACATATATATATATATCTGTGTGTGTGTATATGGTCTAAGAATGTCAGCATCTGAGTTTGTGGTCGTGGGTGTCATGGAGCCCTGTCATACTTCCAAGTCGTAAAGGATGCGCTGGCCAGCAGGCTCTGTGAATTCATCGTCCATGTCCGCTTGCATGCCAGCATTGATGCTTGACCTGATGGAATTATTTATTTCTGTGTGAACCCGAAACCGACAATACTTACTTGCCTTTCAGGGAGGCCAGTGTGCCTGCAGCTCGCTGCGGATATGACCCGAGCCGCAACTTAGAGGATAAGAGGTTCGTACTAGGATAAGTACGGTAACCATAGTTAAGCTGCGTTGTAGCAACTAAGATACTTACAACCCTACTTACTAACTCCCCTGGTCCGAGAAGTAGGCCCACTCTGCACTCTCCTGTTCCGGGCCTGTGAACATCCGTCCGAGGGTTTTCCGCAGGTTCTTCGGGCCTGGCTGCAGCGGCTCTGTTAGTCTGTTGCTCCGAAAACCTGAGCCGATAACTGCAGGCTACTTAACAGGCGATGCTTTGCAGTCTTTGGGAGGAGGTGTCGCTTCGAAGCGGGCTTCTGAAACACTCCAGGACAGCGAATGTGGCAACCCTTGGGGAACATCGTGTCTAGCCTGTGCTCGGAAGATGGCATGTATCACCACATATCACCACCCTGCCTACCCAGTGCATCAGAAACGGGCTTGCTATGCATGTTTTGTCCAAATCACTCCGCGAGCAAGCGGCACAATTCGGCTGTGCTCCGCCGCGTCTTCTGCAGCGCGCCTTCTCCGCGGATGTCCTAAGGTCTGCCGACATTTGGACATGGCCAACAAGCGATTAGGATGCTGTCGCTTCCCTGCATCGTGTAAGCAAGTTTGCAGACACGAGTAGCCGCCATTCCGGACTGAAATCAGGGTCTGAGCCAAGAGCAAGCGCAGATGGCACTGTACTGCACGTCTGAGAATGCCTTCTCACCATTACGCAGTAGCGGCTAGTGAGTCGAGAGCCGCAACTGCTTCGCTCCCTACAGATAGCAGAGGATGAAGCGGACGGAATCCTTGCTCAAGCGCCAGCATAGCCTGAGATCAGCCGGCGCATGGCTCGAGGAGAGCCGTACCAGTATCAGCACCCCTCTCATGCCGTCCTGCACCTCTTTCATTGCATCTTTTAACACAGGCTCAAGTTCAAGGCCTCCGACTCCCATCCCGTGAGTGACTTCCTTCAAGTGCCACTGCAGCAGCGTCGCGGCAGACCGGAGCAACTGAATGTGCAGCTCTCCCTCAACTTCCACGACGCCGAAACCGCAAGACAACCGCAGCTGCACTTGCATCATCCTCACGACATCTTCTGGATCCAATTGCTCACCTTGCTCCATGTCTGTATCTTTCTTGACGGCCTCTTCATATTTCTCCACCCACTGTCCAAGTCTAGAGTTGTGGATTTTGCGAGGCGACCACAACTCTTTCCATGGCAGGCCGGTGAAATAGTCAGCGTTCAAGGATGCAAACACAAGCATGGAACGCTCATTTCTGCCCCAAGAGTGTCCCAGCAAACTGCGGAGCTCTCGTTTCGAGTGTCGGAATATGGCGGGATAACGGTTGTCGGCAGTGAACACATCCAGCCCTCGAACGGATAAATCGTCACCCAAGCACAGGAAGAAGACTCGATCAGCCCTTTGAGGCACCTTTTTGCGTGACGGAGTCCTTTGCTAGCAGCAGCCAGTGCTCGGTCAGTTCATGCTTAAAGAACCTATACTCCATGGGATAGTTCTGGAGAAATTCAAGGCGGAAGAATAGCCAATCCTCTGCCATCGATGTGAGGCGTCCAAAGACCTGCATGAACTCCCTAGCCATGCCTTCAGGCACTTCTGGCCCGTATTTATCTTCCTGCAGAAGATCATGCACCTCACCAGCACTGACCTCGGGCTCGCCCGAAACAGCCCTCAAAGTCCACTTAATTTGGAGGCCCTCCGTTCTTGGTTTGAAAGTTTCTTCTGCCATGGCTTTCAGAAACCTGCGGCAATCTCCGAAGTCATCGTAGAATCTAAGCACAAGCGACTCGGCGTTGTACTCCTTCAGATCACAAGAGTTCTGGAGCAGATTGGAAGGGTCCCGCGTGGTGGAAAAGGCACACATCGTCAATCGCAGGCCCAGCGCACTCGCCACAGCGAGTTCTAGGTCCTTCAGGTCCTTCAACTTCGAGGCCAGAGGTTGTCTGAGGCTGAAACAATACCCACTGAGCAGTGCGAAATTCACCGTGCTCCCTTTCTCGTCAGTTGTGATGACGGCCTGAATGGGCATGCCTGCCAACCTTGCCACCATGGCCTCCGCGGTGAACCCAGTGTCGCCCGCTCCAGCCTCGATGCTCGGCGGGAACTGCGCTACTTGAGGAGTCTGCAGCTGGCCAGGAGCATCCTGCGGCAGGCTACGTCCTTGGGCGTCTCGGACGACAGTGCCGGCCGCACTGCAGCCGTCGCGGGTGTCTGGCCAGTTGTCGTCGAACGGGATCGACAGAGGCTGCATGGCTTTGGGGCTTTTCCCTCGCTGTCCAAGAGGAACTTAAGCCAAACTGAGTTTTGCGGGCTTTGGGGGTTGAAACGGATTGGGGTAGATAACGCCTGCCCTGAACCCTAAAGCTATATTGTAGCATATTATAGTATGTTACAGCATACTATAGTACATTGTAGTATGTTATAGCCTTAAACCCCTGAGGCGCTTGGCCCCCTGCGCATCGTCCTTGTTTGAAGGGCGCTCTGGAGGGCCTCGGCCGACAGAAATGAGGCCGACAGAAATGAGTTGAGGGTTTAGGGGTTTAAGGGTTTCTGGTTTAGGGTTGAGGGCTTAGGTTGTAGGCTTTAGGGGTTTAGGGGTTAGGGTTTAGGGTTTAGGACAGAAATGAGTAGTAGTAGTAGTAGTAGTAGTAGTAGTATCATTGGTACTATTACTAAATATTGCTAGTCTTATTGATCTTGTTAGTACTTGTAATAGTATTCCAAGTGTTGGTACCATTATTAATGCTATTGTTAGTATAAGCTCTGGAGACTGTGGGGCTGTTTAGGGTTTAGGGCTCAGGGTGTAAGGTGTTTTTGTTTTTTGTAAGCACCGTTGTTGCAAGAGTTCGGGTTTAGGGCAAGGGTGTAGGGGTGTAACGTTTGGGGCTTGGGGTTCAGTGCGTTTTGAGAACGACAGGCTTGGGCTCCAGGATGTAGGCGTCATAGCGGACGGCGCAGGGTCATGCAGTTTCAGAGATTCTGGGTCACTGGATTAAGGTTTGCGAACTAAAAGTCTGCCCGTATCGCAAAAACCGCTACCCTACAAAATGATAGGCTATGATACCTTCAATGATACCTTCATCAAAGCGGGATTCAGGATTTTGAGGTGCGGGCAAAAACCTATCTCAATATGAACAACATCCCTGCACTGAGCCGACACTCCGACAAAGAGAAACAACATCTGAGAAGAAGATTCAAGTAGGTTCGGCAAGAACCCTAAACCCTGAAACCAGAAAAAAACCCTCAACCCTCAACCCTAAATCCTAAAACCCTAAAGCTCTAAACCTCTTAAACACCTTAATTTCCCAGGCCTTGGGGCGTCCTAGTTACTACGTACCAGAGACGGTCAGAGCTGCACTGTGCGAATACCCTACCACAAAGCTACCAGGACCAAGTCCTGAAAGAAGACTACTCATTATAAGTTGGAGTCATGAACACCACGATCATGCTTGTACGACGAACAATATCTATGGCAAGCAATCGCCACCTTCGTAAACACTACTGTCGGGGCCTTAATCACTAGAACAGGTTTTTGCGGTAAAATACACTATAACCATCATAAGGAACCCACGAAATAGTATTATTGGTATTTATTTTGGCCCATACAGTAACCCTAAACCCTAAACCCTGAACCCTGAACCCCTAAACCCTAAACCCCTAAACCCCAAACTCCAAAGCAGAATTGAGGCAGCGCGCTGCCACCCGAGGGCTCGGAGTTTGGACCTGGCACCCCCCGGGGCCCCCGGGGCGTTGTCAGACGTAAAACGCGCGCTTCGGGCCAGACTTGAGGCCTCTTAGGTTTCAGTAGGATATGATAGTGCATCATAGCATGTTATGCTAGTATAGCACAGTATATAAGCTTGTGAACTACTATATATATATATATAATGGTCGCCTGTAGGGTAGGGGTGGTTTGGGTTCCGTCTTGGAGCCATAGGACGAAGATCACAACCACGGCGACCACAAGTGGGGTCTAGGGTTGGGGGTTCAAGGTTCGGGCTTCGGGTTTCGGATTTAGGGTTTACAAGAGTTTCGGGTTCAGGGTTTAGGGTTAAGAAACACCAACATGAGTAGAAAGTAAACTGGAAATTGTTGCACCAACGATGCTGTTAGAAGCGATGACGATGAGGATGGTGATGGACTTAAGCATATGCTGCGATGAGGATGGTGATGATGATGGTGGCAACAGTACTCTCCTGGCCAAGACAACTCCTACACGCCCGAGTCCCAACACCAAAGCCCAACTCCAACGAAAACCCGGAATCCCAAGCCCCGAGCCAACTCCATACCTTACCCGAAACCCAAAAGCCCACACCCTAAATCCTAAACCGCCAGCATGGAACCCCCCTTTTGGGAACCACCATACCCTCATAGAACCTATCCGAAACCCTAAGGCCCCCGACCCTCCGGCAGTGCTCCGACGAGGTTTGAGGGCGCCGGAGGCAGCTCGCGGGGCCCTCCGCGCAGCTGAGCGTCACTCGAGGCTTTAGGCTTTGCAGGTCTTGGGATTCGGCTGTACAAGGACACTAAATAAGGGTGCTAGGTTGAGGGTATTGCAATCCCTATGCTGGGTTTAGATGCAAATATCTTTAAACGGAAGGCGTGGGCCGCTTGCATAGCCTGCAGATAAGAGGATCCATGTCCTTCATGCCTCCTGAACCCTAAACCCTAAACCCTCCCCTGGGCTAAAGTCTAGTGTTCGCAGGGTTTGATGGGTCTGAACTCGGGTTTCAACGCCCGAAAGCCGAAATCCTGCGCCTGAAGCACTGGCCCTTCAGCCTCGGGAAGCCCATGAGATATCGAGACTTTACTGATTTCTAAAGCATGATTTTTTTTTTTTTGTTTTGCGGGGGGGGGGGCAGGGTATATCATACTAGAGTCACTAGAGCTATACAGGAACTGGACGGGAACAGAGGGGATTCTCCTTGCCTT